TTTAAATATTAAAAGTTAATAATATTGTTTAAGTAATCGTGTAAAATAAAAGTGTTTTAAGGAAAGAAACACTTAAGAATTATGCATGCATAATGTAGTACATGAGATTGAACGAGTAAAATGATATTTTTTGTTTGAAATACTCGTTCTCACTTTTTATAATTAATAATATACTACCTAGTATATAAGATTCAAATGATTGTAACTTTAAAATATAATTTAACCTTTTAGAACTTTAATTTGTTAAGAATGTATCATTTTCCTCTATATTTCTTTGTTGAAAGTCTTTTGAATAGAATCTCACTAAAATGTCTTATTTATATTGTATCACTGCTATCATAAATTTAAATTAATATTAAGTTAACTGAAAAATAAACATATACAATAATTCTTATGGGAGTATTTAGTTTTTAACGTTAAGAAATCAATTTTTTTGTGCATTTTCTGTTAGCATTATATGTTAAAAAACACAAGTTAATGTCTCTGTTATAGTTAAATTTTGAGAAAATATTGATATAACAGTTTCTGCTCAGAATCAACGTTTGATTTAACTGGTAAACTTGTATTCACTTGTACCAAATAAGGCCAAATACAGTAAATTAAATACAGTTTATTAAACCTCTGATAATGAAACTCATACCTCAACTCAAAGCAAAATTCTTTTTCGAACAGGAGAAAGTTGAACTCTTATGTGAGCTCGAAATATTTACCTAAATCGATCATCGAAAAAACGTACAACTCCCTAAACGCAGACCACACAGGTGGACATTGTTAAATAGATTTTATTCCTACCCTGAACCTTATCAGTACTCTCGGTACTTTTTATCTCGTCAGAATTGGCAACAATAGGCTTTGAGAACTGATCTCTACGATCAAGAACGCCCAGGCAATTTATTTTCATTTTATTTAGTAAGGAAAACCGCGAATTTATTACAATTTAACAAAATTTCGCTGGAACACTGTTGATACTCTAATAATGGGAGGGCGTTTGCACCATTAGTGCAGTAGAGTCCATCCAGTTCTTCTTTGACCTCTTGGTAGTTCAGCTTCAACATGCACATGCACACACATATCTAACCAAGCACCAAACCCTCAAAAAATTCACTCACAATTCGCAGATTAAGCAGCTGGGCTCTGCAACGTAGATTTGGCTGCCTGGCTGCATTGCCTCCTTCCTTCCAGTCAGATCGTCATCCTTCCTTCCTTCCTGCCTTCCTCCCAGTTCCGATCGACTTTGCAAGACCCACAAAGACGCGACGCGACGTGATAAATTCTCGTATCGATCGAAAGTAAATGGGAAAATTGACTGTAAATTGAATTAACAGTTCTTCTTTGACCTCTTGGTAGTTCAGCTTCAACATGCACATGCACACACATATCTAACCAAGCACCAAACCCTCAAAAAATTCACTCACAATTCGCAGATTAAGCAGCTGGGCTCTGCAACGTAGATTTGGCTGCCTGGCTGCATTGCCTCCTTCCTTCCACTCAGATCGTCATCCTTCCTTCCTCCCTGCCTTCCTCCCAGTTCCGATCGACTTTGCAAGACCCACAAACTCACAAAGTGTGAGTCACTGTGGAATGGACGACGCGAAAAGTACTTCGAAACGCGATTTATTTCAGTTTTATTCAGAAAGGGAGAAACCGCGACTTTGTATTATTTTCAGTATTATTATTGAACTAAACCTTCGCAGAACGCGAGTGAAAAATTGAAAAATTCAAAGGAAAAAACGCGAATTCGTATCTTTTTCGATTCTAGAATATAAGAAAATTTGAATAAAATACGCGACGAGAATTAGGAGAAAGTATGTTAAACGCGTAAAATATTAAATAATAAGCGAACAAGGTATGAAGCTATTATTTCAGTACGCGATGCAACGACTCTAGTGTTTACTAAAATTCAAAAATTCTCGTATAAATTCCGAAAATAGATTATTAATTACGGTAAACTACTGAGACGGTTTAATTTAGGGTAGGCATAGTGCCCGAGTGTAGTGCACTCGTTCCAAATCAGCTCACAATATACAATAATAAATCAACTAACTACTTAACATGCAATTCATGCAAATTCCTTGGATGGTAAATTATTAGTAAACAAAATTAAATATCAGAGAAAATATATGAAAAATACTGAAAGAAAAATTTCAAATCAATTTCAATTGCTGTAACGAAAAAGCAACCTCTCAAAGTCATTTCAATATCCTATTCGACAAGTCTGAAGAACAACGATGACTAAAATTCAAATGTTTATTTCCCTAAACCTTCAAAATAATTTCGAAATATTTTATTCGAAGCGGAGTATTCCAAGTCAGTATCGATAATTGAAGAAATTATTTGATTGTATTTAAAAGAACCGAAAGGAGAATATTTAAAGTCTGATATTAAATGTCTAGCAAGTACCAGTAATTGGTAAAATGATTTATATTTGTTTTAAAAGGAAAATTTCTAATAGGTATTAGTTAAAATGAATTGTTATTCAGTCTACTGTATTGAAATTCTAATTGATTCTAATGTATACAAGTGTTACAAGAAGGCTGAGTGTGTACAGGGTGGACACTGACTCTAGTATTTACTAAAATTCAAAAATTCTCGTATAAATTCCGAAAATAGATTATTAATTACGGTAAACTACTGAGACGGTTTAATTAAGGGTGGGCATGGTGCTGCTTTAGTTTGAAATGATTTATAAACACATAATTAACAGAGGAAAAACCGTGAAACGGCAAAACGTCTACATTCTAATTGTTATAACATGTAAACAGAACTTTAAATTTAGTGTAAACAGAAAAAATATATAATACAATTTATTTCACGGTATTGCAACAAATAAACGTTGAATCAATATTTAATTCGTATAAAAACAATTATTTAACGTAATAATTTTACCTTCACTATGGCTATTTTTAATCTACGACCACAGGTCAACCTGATTTCTAATCCTTACGAACTTTAAATTCAGTCTAAACTGAGAAAATATATAATACAATTTATTTCACGGTATTGCAACAAACAAACGTTGAATAGATTCTTAATTCGTATAGAAACATTTATTTAAAATAATAATTTCACCTTCACTATGGCTATTTTAAATTTACGACCAAGGGTCAACCTGATTTTTAATCCTCCGAACTTGATTTCACAACGAGAAAGTAATAAGATCGTTGAAACGTACTTATTTGTCAAAGAAACTTGCAAAAATGTATAAATAATAATATGTAATGTTTTAACAAATTTTTGGAAGTATAAATTAATAATAAAATTGTGAAAATTAATAAATTATACGTTATTATAACATTAATAGAATTATGACTAAACCGAAGTTCGAAGTCGAGTATTTAAAGTCTGATATTACGTGCCTAGCGAGTGCCGGTAATTGTTAAAATTTGTTTAATAATTAGTAATAGAAATTCTAATTGATTCTAATGTATACAAGTGTTACAAGAAGGCTGAGTGTGTACAGGGTGGACATAGACTAGCTAGTAGCCCCCGACCACTCTATTCACATCTCAGAACCTTCAGGTCAAAATACGCCGCGAAGTGTCTAGGGCCCAGTATAAAGGGTAAATGATTTCGCGGGACATCGGCGGGTCCTTATATACCTGCGGTACCCTCTCCCCAAAGTCATTAGCAAAATCGTCGGTTAGGTCAGGCGGGAAATTTTCGCGGGAGATTTTCGCGGGAGATTTCCGATATCGTAACACGGTATAATTTATCAATTTTCACAATTTTATTAAAAATTTATACTTCCGACAATTTGTTATAACATTGCATATAACAATTTATACGTTTTTACAATATTCTTCAATGGAAACATAGGTTTTAGCGTTCTCGTTACTTACTCGTGGTTAAATTAATTTCGTAGGGATTAAAAATCAGGTTGACCTGTGGTCGTAGATTAAAAATAACCATAGTACAGCTAAATTTATCGTGTTAAATAATTCTTCTTACACGAATGAAAAATGTATTCAACGTTTGCTTGTTACAATACCATGAAATAAATTATTTGTGCAGTTCTGTGCATTTTCTGTGCAGTTCAACCTAATTTACTTAAATTTACATTGCGAGACAGTATACTGTAACAAGTAGTAACAAGCAAACGTTGAATAAATTCCTAATTCGTATTAAAAAAATTATTTAACACAATAATTTCAGCTTTATTATGATTATTCTTGATAAATGACCACAGGTCAACTTGATTTTTAATCGTTATAATCTTTAAATTCAGTGTGAATAGAGAAAATGTGTAATATAATTCATTTCACGATATTATAACAAACAAACGTTGAATACATTTTTGATTCGTAGGAAAAGAATTATTTAACACGATAATTTTAGCTGTACTATCACTATTTTTAATCTACGACCACAGGTCAACCTGATTTTTAATCCCTACGAAATTAATTTAACCACGAGTAAGTAACGAGAACGCTAAAACCTATGTTTCCATTGAAGAATATTGTAAAAACGTATAAATTGTTATATGCAATGTTATAACAAATTGTCGGAAGTATAAATTTATAACAAAATTGTGAAAATTGATAAATTATACCGTGTTACGATATCGGAAATCTCCCGCGAAAATCTCCCGCGAAAATTTCCCGCCTGACCTAACGGACGATTAGCGATACTCACTTGGAATACTCCGCTTCGATTAAAATATTTCGAAATTATTTTGAAGGTTTAGGGAAATAAACATTTGAATTTTAGTCATCGTTGTTCTTCAGACTTGTCGAATAGGATATTGAAATTACTTTGAGAGGTTGCTTTTTCGTAATAGCTATTGAAATTAATTTGAAATTTTTCTTTCAGTATCCTTGTGGAACTTGTAACGAATGCTGCTCCTAATTCTTATCACTTGCTGTAAAATTATTAGTTTTTGCATTTTAACAAAGTGAATTAATATTCCTATTTCTTATAAAATTATTAATCGCTAAAACCTATGTTTCCATTGAAGAATATTGTAAAAACGTATAAATTGTTATATGCAATGTTATAACAAATTGTCGGAAGTATAAATTTTTAATAAAATTGTGAAAATTGATAAATTATACCGTGTTACGATATCGGAAATCTCCCGCGAAAATCTCCCGCGAAAATTTCCCGCCTGACCTAACCGACGATTTTGCTAATGACTTTGGGGAGAGGGTACCGCAGGTATATAAGGACCCGCCGATGTCCCGCGAAATCATTTACCCTTTATACTGGGCCCTAGACACTTCGCGGCGTATTTTGACCTGAAGGTTCTGAGATGTGAATAGAGTGGTCGGGGGCTACTAGCTAGTCTATGTCCACCCTGTACACACTCAGCCTTCTTGTAACACTTGTATACATTAGAATCAATTAGAATTTCTATTACTAATTATTAAACAAATTTTAACAATTACCGGCACTCGCTAGGCACGTAATATCAGACTTTAAATACTCGACTTCGAACTTCGGTTTAGTCATAATTCTATTAATGTTATAATAACGTATAATTTATTAATTTTCACAATTTTATTATTAATTTATACTTCCAAAAATTTGTTAAAACATTACATATTATTATTTATACATTTTTGCAAGTTTCTTTGACAAATAAGTACGTTTCAACGATCTTATTACTTTCTCGTTGTGAAATCAAGTTCGGAGGATTAAAAATCAGGTTGACCCTTGGTCGTAAATTTAAAATAGCCATAGTGAAGGTGAAATTATTATTTTAAATAAATGTTTCTATACGAATTAAGAATCTATTCAACGTTTGTTTGTTGCAATACCGTGAAATAAATTGTATTATATATTTTCTCAGTTTAGACTGAATTTAAAGTTCGTAAGGATTAGAAATCAGGTTGACCTGTGGTCGTAGATTAAAAATAGCCATAGTGAAGGTAAAATTATTACGTTAAATAATTGTTTTTATACGAATTAAATATTTATTCAACGTTTATTTGTTGCAATACCGTGAAATAAATTGTATTATATATTTTCTCAGTTTAGACTGAATTTAAAGTTCGTAAGGATTAGATATCAGGTTGACCTGTGGTCGTAGATTTAAAATAGCCATAGTGAAGGTAAAATTATTACGTTAAATAATTGTTTTTATACGAATTAAATATTTATTCAACGTTTATTTGTTGCAATACCGTGAAATAAATTGTATTATATATTTTTTCTGTTTACACTAAATTTAAAGTTTTGTTTACATGTTATAACAATTAGAATGTTGACGTTTTGCCGTTTCACGGTTTTTCCTCTGTTAATTATGTGTTTATAAATCATTTCAAACTAAAGCAGCACCATGCCCACCCTTAATTAAACCGTCTCAGTAGTTTACCGTAATTAATAATCTATTTTCGGAATTTATACGAGAATTTTTGAATTTTAGTAAATACTAGAGTCAGTGCATCGCGTATTGAAATAATAGCTTCATCCCTAGTTCGTTTATTACTGAATATTTTTACGCGTTTAACTTATGCTTCTCCCTAATTCTCGTCGCGTATTTTATTCAAATTTTCTTATATTCTAGAATCGAAAAAGATACGAATTCGCGTTTTTTCTTTTGATTCTTTCAATTTTTCACTCGCGTTCTACGAAAGTTTAGTTCAATAATAATATTGAAAATGTTGTATACAACTCAATTTTGAAAAAACAAAAGAAAAATAGAATTTGCTTAGTTTGATTCTAAAGTACAGTATTAATAATGCAAAAAACCTCGCAGCAAAGCAATTTCTTTCTCCATACATCCACAAGAGGTGTAACCGTCCCTTTGTTGTTTGACCATTAAAGCAAGTGGATTGTTCTGAACGTTTTCTGATTATTTCTGATAAAACTTTTCGCGTTCAGCGTGAAAAATGCGTCGTGCGGCCTCTGTTTGTCCTTGTTACGTCTCCGCCTCCTGGCTGGTTATCATTTGCTTAAGTGGTTACGGATTGATGGTCGCTGGGATTGTAATGGCGTTTCGTGGAATTCGTTGGACAAAATTGATGGAAAATGGAATTAAAGGGTGCCAGTAGAATCGTATGAACGTGTTAGTCGTTACCGCAAGACGTACCAGGGACTTATTCGGTTCACGGTTCTTATTTCCGTCGTTTAGTATTCGACTATAGTTCACGACGTTAAAAAAATCGTTTGAAATTGAGAACTCGCAGCATGAAGAATAAAAGTCGCAGTATTTGCAAGCTGCATAAGAAGAAATCGGGAGTAGGTGTGTAAGATATAAGATTGTTTATGATTCAATTATTGCAATAAATATGAGTTAGAACGTATTTCTAATATTTTTGGGGAGAGATGGAATTTCTACTCACATTTACGAGATATTCTATAACTTCTACTGTTGCTTCCTTTCTTTATTAATTTTTCTTATTCAACATATCACGCTCAGTAAGCTTTGTTTTACTTTTCTAATATTCATCAGTTTATATAAAATTAAAAATACACGCAACTCGTCAATAATAAAACGATGTTGGAGAATTTAAAAATCAGAATTGTTAATAATTTATAAACGTATTCCACGTTGTTTGCCATTATTTAATATATTCCTTTTCATACATTCAGGTGCGCATAGTGTTACTACTTAAATATTAGAAAAAAAGATTTTGCAAATTTGAATGGTCCAACAAATGAATTATATATTTCCTATGTTGAGTATAACGAATCATTTTTGAAGACAAAAGAACACATGTACAAAGAATACATGTGTATATTAATTAATTCAAAAAATATCGTCTGATTAGATTTATATTAATTTCTTTTATAAAATCATGATATAAGTTGAATTATTCACACTGCTTTTTTATTATGAAGAACTTGTGCAGTGTGTTTCTAATGAACTTCTAAAGAAATACGCTTCGCACGCATCCACTTACATGTTTTTCTCCGACGTTATTCTTCATTATTGCATTTATTCCTTTGCTTTCGTGCTACTAAGATAAGATTGTAAATAAAATGAACGCCTGTAAACATTTTTACCCCAAAAAATATTCATGTTTCCATTACATCGAATTAGGAAGTCGGTCAACTTTCACGCAGACGGTAAAGAGATCTTTCCGTGTTTATTGTGAAAATACAGGATTGCACGGCTTTCGTTATATTGTTACAAGCAAAACGACATTTGATAAGACGATTTGGTTCACGGTGGGTTAGCTTCTGCTTATTATTCTCATCTCACTACTTAATCATAACAAAGATTGAAAATGTATTATATGTACGTATTTTTCAATGCGTAGATTTGCTTATCGGCCCTTGTCTTTTGCGTAATGCTCATGTTGCGTTTGTGGCATTATTTTTCAAACAATCCTACGGTAACGATAATCGACACGTCGAATCCCATAAGGGAATTGCATTTTCCAGGCATTACTATATGCAATAATAATAAAGTTTTCAAACCACATGCTGACAAAATTGCAGAAAAACTGTAAGTACCAAAAATTAACGATAAAATTCATTTATTCTCTATATCATTTTGTATTTTTACTTCCAACGACACTGCTGTTATTATCAAATGGTAAATAAATCTCGTATATTTTCAATAAGCAGATATTAAACATTTCTTTTACATAAATAACACTGTTTACAATCATTTTAAAATATCGTACTTTAGTACACTAATCTAGGTACGAAAAATCTGATTGGTCGATGGAAATTCTTCTACTTCACGTATACGGTAACTGTATCTAATATGGAACACCGCAATATCTCGGCAAATAAGTAACAAAATCAGTCGGTAATAGTGTGAGATATTTCATTAAAGACAAAAGGCAATCATATTGGAATTAGAGCTTCAGTTACAAGGCTGTCGTTGAATGCGAAATTGATTGTTGTTTGAAAATTTTTGAGAGGAGAGTTAAATAGAGAAAGTTTTTAGTGAAGATAAGGTAAAAAAAATAATATATTTGCACGATTTATCATTAGACATGTTTGTTTTCGAGTCTTCAAAAGAAATTTACCGTTAAATTTTTTTCTTCTTAGTATAATTATTATTTTTCTGTCGAAATACGTATGTACCCAATATGGAACATGTTCCACATTAATATTATATAGTATTATATTATATTTTTACCATTATAAGTGCATTGTATTATTGTACTACAATATATTACATAGTTTTATGCTATTATTATTATTATCGTTTATATAATAGACGGAAATTGTAACACTAAAAATTAAAAGAAAATCTTGGGACAAGGTTCCAAAAAAATGGAAAATACCTATTTTGTCAACTCGCCGCGGTTGATTTTTTTTACATTTCTTACCATGACTTCAAGACACTTAAACTTTTGCATAGTTAACTGTTAACGTACGAATATCTATTAATTTTGTCGTGTTTTAACGTTAGTTTCATTAAAAAAAAAGCATGTCTCTATGATTAGCAAGCTTTTAAAATCAGGTATTTCATATTAGATGCAGTTACTTTATATCTTCATATTTATTACGAATCGAAAAAGCTTGAAGTGTGAACAAGCAATCGTGTGCAACAATATGCATTTCGTAGAAACAGTTTCTTTTAATAGGCTGATAAATGGATTCGATAGTGACATGAGCAACAAGCTGTTCTCTTCCTTGATGAAACTGATACGACCAGATAAAATTGAAATCGATAATGCAACTGCTTCGTTGGCCCTTGACATCCTAGGTTACTCAGTGGATAGACTTATGCTTGAGGTGAATACATAATGTCTTCCTCAGAACTTGTTAACACTTTACCGACCGGTAGCGGTTGAACATCCTACGCACTTCCGACCGTTCACTCGGCCACAGATGCATCGCTGACACCGGTTCTGTTTAGACTCTACGCTATCGCACGAGAATATATGCGCTTTTTCTTATAGAAAATGTTAAATCAAACTTTGACCGATTAATAGGCTATCGGTCGGTAAGCGTCGGTGGTAAAAAAGCGATTAATAAGCTACCGGTCGGTAAGCGTTGACGGCAAAAAGCCGATTAATAGGCTACCAGTCGGTAAAGTGTTAACACGTTGAGTTTATTGTATATTGATAATGTGCGTCATCGATAAGCAGAGTTAAATAAAGCTCGTGTTGATATTCCTAAGAAAATCTACGAATTCTATGCGTGTATTGAATTGAATTCAAGAATTCAATATGCTTCTGAAAAGTAGTTTAGTAGTGACAGCGAATAACTGACATTTCGAAAAGAAAATCGATCATGTTTAGTTTCAGGCAAATAAAAAACGTTCAAAGCCGATATCTGAGTTTTTGTTTCACATTGTAAAATGTTTACTATTTACTGTAACATCGTAAAAAATTATGAACGTTTAAATCAAATATTACGTCGAAAAAAATATTCTTCCTCAAATTGTACATTTTGTTGTCAATTTCATTAAATTCGTTCAAACAAAGGTCCAATCGACATGAAAAAAAAAAAATGAAGGGACAAATCCATTTATAAGGTATATTTGGACAACAATATTTGTAATAAAGTAATATATTTTATTGTTACAGTTGATGCAACCGTGCAATTTACTTTTAGTGAGATGCTCCTGGCTGGGCAAACTGTACGATTGCAATAAGATTTTCAAAACGGTGAAGTCGAACGAAGGTTTCTGTTGTGGCTTCAATTACCATTACGATCTTTCTGCTGATTATAGGTAATTGAAAAGATTAGACAAGGATTGGTCAATTTTATTTAGATATTCTTTAGAATAATTCGGAAATTGTTATTTTTTCTTTACCACTTGATGCTTCGATATTTCGCATCGTCGTGAAATTGAGCGTACAATATGTTTAATGTTTTCTTAGCAACGAGTATGCTTGGCTGATGAATATCACGATGATCGCGGAAGATTTACATAAATCTAATTCTTCCGATACTTTACCAGGTGTTGGAAAAATTCTGGTAACGTACGAGTAATACTTTGTAAAAATTTATTTCTCCTTTTCTCTTGCTCTTTTGATACACTCTCACACCGTTTTTTCTACCTTATCGACATCAATGGTTACTATATTTTGTAACATTTTAAAAATGGAATCTTATGAAACGTAAACAGAGATTGAAAAAGAAAATAAATAAAACTCGCTGTATTCTAAAGTTGTACACCGCGAACATATTCGAACTTCGTTGCTTTATTAATTATTATCGACGAAGTATTGTTTCTGTATACAGTAGATTCCCGTATAACGCGGTTGAACGTTAATTTTTCTCGTATAACGTAAATAATCTAAAGTAACATGTTTGAAATGATTATTGCCATGCCAACTTTTATTTTCTGTTTTATCAAATGGGACAATTTTTAAAAAATTTTTAATATAAAAATTATGAAATAGAAGAAGTCGGTAACGATGAAGAAAACAGTGTAATGCTCGACTAAAGCAGGTTTAATTTTTAGATGCGGGAAATTCCTGTATTTCATTATTCAACGCGTTGTACGAGGAATCGCGATATCTTTGGCGCGTTATAGGAATTCAAATCAATTTTTACAAGGATATTGCGAGTGTACTTGCAATCTATCGTAGGCTATCGATGCTCCACGTTATTACAGTCATTATGCTATTTTTCATTAGCAGTGCGCCACTTATAAGGGAACTTCGGTAACCCAAAAGTTCCGATTATTTTGAAATTTTGCAGGTTTGTAGGGGACCTCAATTTAACAGCATTGTCTTATAAGGCATAAAAAGCCATTGAATTTTTATTATAAACATTCTCTTATATCTACTATAGTTTTAAAGATATACAGAGAAACAGGGTAACACTTATCTTCATTCAAGGGCTGTTTTCACCCCGAAGAACCGAAATTTCGCCAAAAAAAGAAATTGTCCCCTACAAACCTGCAAAGTTTCAAAAAAATCAGAATTTTCCGGTCACCGAAGTTCCCTTGTTGGCGAATTGAAACCGCATCGCTACGTCACGGACGTCATCGATGGCCCACGGTATGATGATTTGATGATTGCACTATACATAGTTACATGATATCATGAAATATTTCACGATAATGTTTCTTTTTACACGAAATTATTGATGGCACACGCGACACTCAATACGTTAATTCGATACATAGCATGTGCCAGGAACAGGACGTGATATCGGATTGGCGGTGGCACTGAATATTGACCCCGAAAATTACAAAAGTTCGGTGAGGCAATTTGTGGGTGCCACCGTGTTAATCCACGATCCCCAAGATTATCCGGATATTGGTGCACAATCGGTCACTTTGCAACCGGCCCACGTAATGGCAATAACACTTGCTGGAACGAAAATACAAAGCTCCAAAGATATTCAAAACATACCCCTGCGTAAAAGGATGTGCCTGTTCGATGGCGAGGTAAGTGGAAATTTACGATGGAGATTTTAATGTGCGGTGTCTGTATCAGTTCTAGTGAAGATTATTATCTTAGCCCTTTGGACTCATTCGTCGAGTGCGACTCGACGTCAGTTTTATTCACAGGTATGAACCAAGTAATTTTCAAATTGCCAGTTTAAATATGTATTGTATTTTGCAATATTTGTTTTACCTGGATGAGCAATAGGTACGCATACATGACCCTTAATGCTATTTTCAATATAATTAGTAAAAAAAAGTTGTTTAAATTGGTTCCTATCGACCAAATGTCTTTTGAAGTGCATTTCAAATAAAATTCTTAAAATAATGGGGAGTTGTTGAAAAGAAAATTTTAAAAAAATTTGGAGTTCAAAGGGTTAACATCTGGAACAGTCGCAGAATATTACTTCGCTTCATAAAGCGTACATTCGTACCCCCTTGAAAACAGAATAAATTTTTTAAAATTGGACTAAACGGCTTGAGCTTTTTCTTTCTGAGAAATTAGAAGGATTCTTTGCAATTTAAAGTTACATGTTAGAAAAAAAAAGAATATATTATATGTTAAAATTTATTGGTTAATATGTTCATAGAACTCATATCGTTACGTAGCTGATGTCTAAAACTACGGTCATAAATATTCTCATTTTCATATGTTCAGACACCTGGGGAACGAGCATACAGTTATCAAACATGCATTTCGGAATGCATACAGCAGAAAACTTATGGTTCGTGTGGGTGTTTGCCTTTTTTCTATCCAGATGAACGTGAGTGAATAAGAATACTCACACACAGAAAATTACTTATTATACAAAATGTCTAAAAATACTATTACCATACATATGATTTTTCCATGTAGGTATAAATCTATTTTAACTTGAACCAAATTAGATGAAAAATAAAATAATAAAGATTTACACTTATAACTTTCTCAATATAAATTTCCATGTTTTTATAAAAGTATCTACATAAATTTTTCAAATAAAAGACGAGTAAGTGGAATTTAATTTACAGCGAATGGTAGAATTATTTACTTAACCATAGTATTGTACTTTTACTAAGCTCGTATTAATTTTAACCGAAACTACAAATTCCAAAATCAATAAAAACTATAAACCGCTGGGCAAACTAAAGGAAACTTTTATTATTTTGATACATTTTTTATCCGTTTTAAACAATGCTTGACACAGTTTAAGTAGAAAATTATCAAAATGAAATATCTCTCGCACAAACATAAGTACATAACTTATTTTGCTGATAGATCCAAACGAGCGTACATGTTATTTGACGGACGTGGATTGCATCTTAGCTCACAGAAGTAAGTATACAGCAATCGTGGTTCCTTGTGATCAAAATTATTCGAAATTGCAGAATAAAGTTTCCGCACACGAGGCTACGTAGATCTCGATCTAATAGATCTTTGTATATATAGACTACTGTTTCTGCTGTATTTGTAAACATCTGTTATCTTAGTATGAAATTCGTTGAAAAATTAAATACATCCATCTGTGAAGTACGCGTGTAAATACTAACGTGTATGTAGATCTCGATCTAGTAGATCTTTGTATATGATAGACTACTGTTTCTGCTGTATTTGTAAACATCTGTTATCTTAGTATGAAATTCGTTGAGAAATTAAATACATTCTTTCGTAACGAAACACTTTATTGCAATTCGGATTAAATTTACTATTTCTCCTCGTGCTAACCCTTTGCGCTCTTATGTCGAGTCTGACTCGACGTACGAATATTAGTCTTCAGATATCGTCCAATGATAAATAATAAATTACGAATGAAAATGAACCATTTTTTGATACATTAATACTTCCTATTTTTTGATTTAATATTATGCTGAAATATTGAAATAAAGGTAAACTACACGAGACCGTCCGGAAGTGGCCAGATACCCAATTGCGGGGTAGCTAGAACGAAACGGTGAAAGTAATTCGGAGCGCAAAGGGTTAAAGAATAAAATATGGTAAAATTCATAATTTCTCAAACGTTGAATATTTAAAAAGGAAATCTATCGCAAGTAAACTTGTCACATATCAACGACTGTAACTGCCTTCCACAATGCAATGATAAATCATACGAAGTGGTCTCTGAGTCTATACCAGTGGGGAATGTAGGATACGATTCTGAAATAACGTAAGTTAGGGTAAGGAGCTGAAATTTCATCCCCGTTCCCAATTTCGTCCGCTAATCGATCTTTGTTTTTAAGTGCTGCAGCTTGTTAGCGACAATTGGAAATTACAATAGAAACGCTAGTGAGCTGGCAGCAAAAATAAATGAATTCGTCGTTTCCAGTACTTTTTATAACACTTTGTTTCTTAATACTTGAAGTCGTATTTCAGCATCTGAACTATATAATTGTACCATTTATTTTTGTTGATGTGTAGTATATTGCTTCTATTTTCATATTCCGAAGTGACGATCTTGTTTTGTTATTTATCGATTAGAACTGGCAATTATATGAAAAAATGGCTTTGTGTCTAATTTCGTCCCCCTACGTAAATAACGAAATAACGTAAATAATTATTTAGTTACTATCTTCTCTGTTGAAATTGTACAACGTTAAATAAATTCCAATGAGTTGTACAGAGACTCTTTTGATCGATTGTATGTTTTTTACAGGCGTAATTTGAACATTAAGAATACATCTTTTTTATACGTGTATTTTCGAGATGCCACCTACCTCGAGTACCGTAAAGAAACTATCATAGGATGGGATAGCCTTCTCGGTAAGAGGAATTTTCTAGCGAATTAAGTACACGTTTTAGCTATAGTATCATCTTTGATAAGGTATCCCGAAACGGATCTATGCATAATCATTTAACCATCGTATACTTAATACTGTTTACTCGAAATTATCATTTCTATTGGCCATCTGAACATCAGCAGAAAAAGTTATACAACTGAAAATTAGCTACTATATAATTCCATGTTGGGTTAACACTTTACCGACTTATACCTATAGAAATGTTAAATCAAACTTTGACCGATTAATAGGCTATCGGTCGGTAAGCGTAGGTGACAAAAAGACGATTAATAGGCTACCGGTCGGTAAGCGTTGGCGGCAAAAAGCCGATTAATAGGCTACCGGTCGGTAAGCGTTGGCGGCAAAAAGCCGATTAATAGGCTACCGGTCGGTAAGCGTTGGCGACAAGACGCCGATTAATAGGCTACCGGTCGGTAAAGCGTTAATATACATCTGAAACATTATTTGTATGGTAATGCTATTATTTATAGTACAATTTAATTCTAACTTTACTAATGGTTTTCAACTTTAATATAATTTTAATTATGAAACAATGCAAATTTCAGCTTCATTCGGTGGAATCTTCGGACTCTGTCTAGGCGGCTCGGTGATAAGTTTAGTCGAATTTCTTTACTATCTACTAACGGACTTTTTTGGTATTCGTAAAAGGAAAGAGAGAATACAGAATGATTTGCCACCTGCTTCGAAATTATTCGTCTCCATGCCCACGAACATGCATTTGAAGAAATGCAACACAACTTTAAATCAACGCACGTTTCTCGAATGGAATCAGTAGATTTCTTAAAATCAGACAAATTCACGTGGTATTAATAGCGATGACTACCATGAATAACGCATTAATTGTTGGTTATACCCTGTTAGTTGATTTTATAAAAATTGTGGTAATATAAGAAAAAGCTGAATTTAATGGTATTAGAAATTAGAATATCCATCATTTTTAGAACAACAGTTTGACACACTGTGCTTTTAAAATATCGATAATGATTCAAACAAAGTAATTTATGAAATACAGTTATAAACAGAGATGTGAAAATTATATTGAAGAAAGTTTTGTATACGCATACAATGTTAATAACAAATACTATTGGTTGATACAAAATTTTTGTCGACAAAAGCGTTGATTTTGTACCAAAAAATGTAATATACTGTTAAAAAATTTACATATACTCGTCAGACTGTTTGAATATTTTCTGTTTTTGAATACTAAATATGTACCTCGTCTGTGGTAAAAGTAACAATTGTATAAAATCTAAAAAGTATAGAAAATGTAAGAAATAAACTAAAAATGTAAAAAAGCGTTAAAAATCGAAGTATAAAAGATATGGACATCCTAAAAAATATTACAAATGAAAAACATGAAAATTTTGTAAAAATATAAAAAAGTAAATTTCAAAACATAAAATATAGAGGTGTCAAATCATATACAGGGTGTTTCCGAAAATGTGGGCATAACTTCGGGGATAGATTCAGTACGCTAAAATAAGAAAAAAAGTTCATATAAACATATACCCGATATGACGTTGTTTCCAAATTATAGCCCTTTTCGTATGATACCTGTTATTTAATAATTTTCATAGAAATTGTTCGAAGTGGTCACCCTCGGCTAGAATGCAGGCTTCCAAACGTCGTATCAATGTAAATTATCACTCCAAATTATTATGAAATGTATTAGCAAATTGCCATACGTGCTGTTACCACCAAGAACATGATTAAACTGATTGAAACAAATTATGACATAGTGTTTACATAGCAGTCCAGAAGATCGTGCATGAGATAAGAAGCGTTTCTTGTAAACAATTAAAAGAAGCACTCAACAGAGTCATAAGAATTACTGGAAGACAAAAATGGCTATAATTCGTAAACAAGATCATATCGGGCATATGTTCATATCAACTTTTTTTCTTATTTTAGCGTACTGAATCTATCCCCGAAGTTATGCCCACATTTTCGAAAACACTCTGTATATGGTAAATATGGAAAATGTTTAAAAAGTACAAAAGCTAACGATATGAAGTTACAAAATGCAAAAAATTATGAAACAATAAAAATTTTAATTCACTCACCGATTTTCCAAGAGATATGCAACATGGAGGGACATCATCATTTGCCATTGTTCATCGAAGTTTTTTTGCAACTTGCATTTATCCATTATTTTTGCACTTTACAATAGAACACTCCCGAACAATCTTTTATCAAACGATAAATAAATAATTTAAGTTACTTAATACGACACGAGAGGCTTACAGAGTCGAAAAACTGTTGCACGAGGTATGAAGACCCAGAGGTATGGTGTCATAAATAAGTATAAATTATGAAATAATGGAAAATTTTTAAAAATTCAATTATCACTCGAAAGCTTGATGGATAAGGAACAAAACGAAACATACCTTTGCAAGTTTTAATCAAAATTACTGCAATTTTCTTTTAATACCACGGTAGCGTTACGAAGAATGTCTAACCATGGCTGGGTCAGTACCGGAAGAGATCGGTATGACAACTGAAAGCAAAGTATTGACTATTAATGGATGAATATGATTAATATAATTACTATAAAAAAAAGCTGTTAGTTCACATTAATGTGAAATAATTTATAACAGCATCCAAATATGACAAACTTGGCGAAAAATTAGAATGGAATGAATAAAAGTAATTAATAAATGCGGAAACAAAGACTGGTTAAAATTGAAAGGAAAGTCCTAACACAACCTGTTTCTTAGACATTCCATCTTTATTAATTAATAGATTATTAAATAAACCCTAAAATCCCAGAAAAATTAAAAAAAGACGATAAGGAATTGTCGACCTGAATTACTATTAAAATAAATAAACCATTTAAATTCATCAAATAACAACGTTGTGAATTTATCGTTGCCACCTCGTGGCAGTATTAGGAAAATTTCAATCAATGCATCAATCGAAGATATGTACAATTTCAATGTCAATCTATGGAAAGAAACTTTTAGAAATTTTCAAGTGCCTATCATCGTTCGAAAAGCCAAGTCTATAACTGAAAATCGACGTAAAATAGGTAGAAATAAATAACTTATGAATTAGTGAACAAATACGTATTATTTTCTGTATTCGATAATTTGTGGTTAGTGTTTGATCTGTTTACCGACCCGGTCTGTTTATCGTGCATTTAGTCGCACGTGTTAATCGGCATAGCAAGTGACAAAGGGAACAAAAGAAGGTATGGATAGTTTTATAAGGGGACGTGTCAAGTCCTCAAAGGTCATGACAACAGAGATATAGACTCATTCTTTTCAAAACTCATTCAAAAAACAAATTGATATTTATCCTTTGAAAGAAAATTAAGGGAAATGCGACCTCTAACCTATAAAGATTCATCAAAGATTCATCAAAGTTTGCATGATGAGACATAGGAAGGGTTAACCATTAAGTTATTGTTAAAAACAGGTATTGTTAGAAATTCTAAAATTTTCCTAGCGTAGTTCCATTCGAATTATTTTTATTAAAAATAATACCATCGTGTGTGTAGGAAAGCCGTGCGTTTATTTATTTGAAATAGCTCTCAAGAAGATTCACATGATTGTCTCTAGACCCAAAGTACTGAATTTTATTAAAATATGTTTATTGCATTATTTGTTTCATCGTGGTATTGAAATAAAAAATTTTGTAGAAATTTCGTTCAATGCGAGGAAGCCTGTTACGCCGTGCGAACGTGCAGAAAAATTATGCAGCGTACGCTAAGTAGGTATGATAAAAAACTATTATAAGGTATTATTGAAAATGTATTAAGAATTCCTTTTTAGAAAGCTTTCTTAGCACTGTTTGCATTCGAATTAATTTTCGCTGACATGTGTATCGACGATCGTGCGCGTAGGAAATTCGCCAGTTTGATTATTTCGAATAGTCCTCGAAAAAAATTCAAGTGGCTATTTCTGGACCCAGGGTACTGTACATTTTATTGCAAGACATTCGTTATATTATTTATTCCTTTGCAGTACTAAAATAAAAACTTTTTTGTAGAATTTTCGCACAACGCTGGGAAACGTCTTTACGACGTTCGAACGTGTAGGTAAATTACGTAGCGTGCATTAAGCAGGTTTAGCTTATATTATTATTATAAAATATTTGTAAAGTTTATAGAAAAGATTTTTTTAACTTTTTACGATATTTTAGGTGGGATTTTTCTCCCACTTCATTAATCGACTAGGACAGGATGCGATCGTTCACAGAGAAGGGTTGCTTGTACATGTAATTTAAATAATCCTGAAGAATACTTAGAAGTCTGTTTTCGTCCTTGTAGAGAACCCATAGTACTATTTTTCATCACGATTTGTCCATCATTTCATTCATTGTATTGTGGAATTAAAGTAAAGTCATTGTTGCACATCTTACAAGGGCCAGGGTATTTTTCACAACGTTTGTATGTTTTGAATAATTCTTTAGAGGACTCAAACGACTATTTTTGTACCTATAGTACTGCTTTTTATTCCAAAATGTTTGTCGTGTTAATCTTATCAGTATGGAAATTGAAATGAGAACATGTTTGTAGCTTGAGGAAGTCTTTCACAATGTTGTAAAATAATATTGGTATATTGTAGCTTTTTGTAAAATACATTTTTACAGTTGTCTTACTTAGACTTCCAATAATTATAAACAACCATCTAAATTGTTATTTGACAAGAAACATTAATTATTGTATAATTAAAGTACTTGAAAATAAACCAGAAACTTTATTTTACTATCTACATATTAGTAATGTTAAAGCAATTAAAAATATATTGTAAGTATCAATTTTTATTTGTTTAATACGTGCAATTATGCTCTAATTAACAATAAATATTATTAAAAACGAAAAATTCAAAAAATTCTCATTATACTGTAATAACAAATATGAGAACATAATTTGTGATTAGTGGATGATTCATCTCATGTGTGTGTTCTTCTGCTTTCGAGAGATCGTCAAAGTTCTACCTATATAATTCAATACATGTAAATATCTTTACATGCGGATTTAACAAAGGAGAATCTTTTACATCTGTCGATTTTACCATCTTTGATGGTAGGTTGTATGTAATTTCTCAACTCACTGCTTCATATCGTAGAGGGCATAACAAAAACTCTAATTTTTTATACGATTGGTATTTCAGAACGTTGAACACAAAAATACATTAGGTATAAGGTCTATCCTGTACCTAACTGTGATGTGATATATCTTTATTTAGCGATGTAACAAAATACGTTTTTCTCACATCAACTGACTTTACCGACGTTGATGGTTAATCTGAACATATTTCCGAAACTCACCGCCTGAAATTGTAGAGGGCATAGCAAAATTTCTTTTTTTCAGAATAAGCCACGCAACGTCTCATAATGTGATAGGTTTATTCTGTATCTCATCTATGCATGCATATACGTTTTAGTTCTTTAGATAAATATTGATTGTTGGATTTATTGAAGTATAGATGAATATAAATATTTCAGTATACAACTTGTTTAATAATAGGTATGGTAACTTAAAATTCAATTTCAAAATCATACTGTTTTATTTACGATACTTGCGCGTAATCTTTATTTTATGTTGAAATAAATATGTTTAAACGTTTTTCTAATCCTTAACCGTTGAATGGAAAATGTGTTCTATAAAAACCTATATATATATAAGTGATTTAACGATAAAATATAATGAAGAAATTATTTTATGAGAGATCATTTTTGAAATTTATTCAATAAATGTTATTTCATTCAGCGCCACAGTGTACGTAGTGTGAATTAAAAGTTTTGCATCGACTCTTGAAAATAACGAGCTGCACTTGTATCAATAAATACATATACAGTTTCCTTTAAGATTTCGCCGAAGTGTAGTGTTGATTTCCGTACCTAAAAGCAAGTGAAAATAAAGTTAAGAATGTGATATAAAATTAAAAAATAATAAAATATACGTGTAAACAAGTGCAACTGAAAGTTAAGTTAATTTTGAAATTAAAGTTAGATAAAATCAAGATTTCGGTTTGAAAGAAATAATACATTTTTTATATAAATATACAATATGATTATTAACAAGGTTATGTTTGCATTGAAACACAACGTTTCAAATAAAAATATTAGCAATACATGTAGACTTTTGATAAGTGGTAATATTTATAATTTTCAACAATATTCAGTTCGAAGAAATTTTACAAAATTTTCATACGAAAGGAACAAAGTTAAGAAGAATTATTCACTTTTATTGTTCATCCTTCCTTGTTTTATTACAAGCTTTATAGGTTGGAGAAGGTAAGTTTTTCATTTTATGCAATAACTTTTAATTCTCATTTCAATAGATTAGTGTCAGTTATGTTTATAAATGAACATTTTTAACTTAACATTTATATGTTGAACCTACCATTTATGCAAGGTGTCACATGCAACTATGTAGAGTAATGTCTTTGAAATGGTTACAGATAGAGAAAAATATTAAAAGATAAAATGTTTGCATTACTTTTATGCATTTTTGTACATTAATGTGGTTGCAAAGTGTGATTGCACTCTTTGTTTAAATGGAACTATATAATTTTTTTTGCATAAATTGATTCCATGAGTTAGTCTACATATAAAAGTATTAGAGTTAGATGATCGAAACTAAAGTTCACTGAATATTTTAACTTTATTAGTAAAACATAACCTTGATCAGTCTTGTCCATATGGCCCTGATCATGCTTTCAAATAGTTTTGAAGTTATAAAAAGTGTAATAATATCAAGTATTGAATGTAAAATGGTGTAGAATGTGGTAGAGAACATTTTAAATCCCTCTTACAACTTGAAAACTGTTTAGAAATGTGAAAAGGGCTGTACAGATGAAAGTATTTGTATCTGTTCTTGAATATCTGTTTTATTTATTTATTTTGTTTCTGTAACATTGTCTACATTTTATTTATAATTTATGCTATATCAGTTTTTAATTACATTTGAATCTGATAATTAAAGCAATATTTTAATTAATTTTGGATAGTTGTAAAATTATCATTTCTAACCCCTTGCCTTGTAGCAACGAATTACATTCATAGTGCAGATTATGAATAAGGCATAACAACGGGAAGTTCTATTTGCAATAATCTTTAATTTTAACTGTTACTCTAGTTTATATTTACATTCATAAGTCTAAAGATTACCAAAGAGAAATTGTACATATCTGAATCTTTTTCATCTAACACAGTATTAGTACAATTTGCAGCTAGCAGTAAAAATCATATAGATAGCTGTTAATAATTACAGGTTTATGTTTGAAATTGCCTTAATAGAAGTGAGATATATGTAAAATAATTAAGGTTTCAGCACTTTGTGACATACTTTTTAAATAATATATTACAGGGCAACTATTTCAGTGAATCTAGAGTGGAAAGGTGACTTATATTGATGTATTTTGTTTTATTTGTATTAATTTCAAAAATATTTAGTATTCAATATTTTGTAAACTAATATATGGTAGATTACCATGTTTTTCAATAGATGTAGACAGGATTCTATGTATATATAAATATTATTGTGAAATAGATTTAATAGAATTCTATGATGATAAAATAAGTCTGTCTTAAACAGTATTGTTCAAATCAATTGAAACAGTTTACCTTAGTATTATCAAAAGTAAATATTATTTTCTTATCAACCCAATATGACTGGATTACTTGGATTACTATTACCAATAAATTATGGTATTATGTTGTACATTAAAGTAATAAGTAATATATGTTAATAAAAATTGTAATTTTTATATTGATTTCAAATTAATAAGATCAGCAGAAAAAGAAAAATATTCGATACATATTTTTTATCTGTTGGTATCCATGTTTATGGGGATGAAATAATACGTTAGGGGTTACAAAATTATGAAATCAAATAATTCAAAACCAAACAGAGATAAATAAACGCCGAATATGAATGTTATCCGATCTTGTGCGAGGAATAACAACAATATTAATACAGTTTTTGTAAATATTTTATTACGTATTACAATTATTTTTTTGATAAAGCTACGCCAGGATAACCTATACGACGAAATTGACAAATACATATTTTTCTACATTTTCGACAGTTACTGCAAAACGAGAAGAAGTCGAATTCGAAATTTTTTAATTTCTATTTCTTGTCTTATTTTGTTGCTTACAATCATCCCTGAAAATTTCTCTTGTGTATCACCAAACACCCTGTGTATTCTCGTTCAAGTACATACATAAATTGCTGATTAATTTTATTTCAGTATAAGGGAAAGATGTTTTTCCGTGGTTAATGCAGCTGAAATGATCACCGAAGAAGAATCTGATAGTGAAGATGAGAACCAACAATTAGACGATCAAAAAAAAAAGAAGAAAAAAGAGAAAATTGGTTTCCGCGTTCGAAAGGTTAGTAATTACACAATTCGTTTCGGTATTTCCTATAAATTCCTGAGGATATGTACAATTTGGACTCTCGTTTTTAATTATGCAATTCCCAATTTCAAAATAGTGGTGCTATTTTTAGTACAATATAAACGCAGTATCATTTTTCCAAATTCTATTGTAGTTACATACATATGTATAATGTGTAGCGAAATAGGAGAAAAATACTTGTGATTCGATAAGAATCTCGATTCTAATTGTACGAAAGATATGTGCATAAAATCTATAAGGTGTTCAGTAACAAGTAGTAGAAACGTCAAGAAGCGATTCTACGTTATTAAAGGAAACGGAAGAGTAACAAGGTTGCAATTGAGGCCACCTTTCTTAGTCATGAGTAGATTAAGGTTATGTTGACACGTAATATACAGGGTGTTCCTGAAGTAAGGGCTAACTCGACGAATGTTTTATTCGTCGCAATAATAAGAAAAGCTTATTTTCTTGTTAGAGGAAATTTGCGTTTCAAGGATCTTTTTCGGCCGCAACTGTTGGATAAACCTAATTTGTGTCAGGACATCTTTACATTTTCCCTCATTTTCTACCATATTTTATCATTTTTCTAATAAATAATCAATATCTGCTTTGTAAAAATTTCTTCGCTTCGCGATGAAGTTCAGTTTTTAATTTATTAATTCCCCGAAATTAGTAACTCTGCGAGTCACCTCTGAAACGTATGCCTGTGTGAAAGAAATAAAAGATTTGTTTTCATACGTTGAATACCGCTTCGTGCGAGGACAGAAGCGTACGCCGTAACAATTTGATTCCGCTATTTGACGATTCGTTTTCACTGTCACCGTCGATATTGCTGTCTATATTTGATAACGGATCCGCGTATATTTTTCCATCGTTTCCGGACATTTCGAAGAAGCAACCTTGTAGATTGACACTTTAATAACTGAAACGGTGTATTGTGGACGCGAGAGATGCGAGTAAGGTTACGTTTGCAGCCTAACCAACGCAACCTCTTGCCCACGTGACGCCGGTCAAGAACCAATGGCACAGCAAAATCACGTATACGTGACGCCGGTCAATAACCGTTGGTACGACGAAATCACGTATACATGACGCCAGTCGATAACCAAGGGTACAACGAAATCACGTATTTAGTTACATACAGTGACTCCCACTAATATTCGGACATTCTTTTAAAATTCAACCTAACGACTTGAGTTTTTTTTTTTTTTTTTGAGAAGTTAGACGGATTAGTATAGTAGGTGACGTGTACAAAACATTTTGAAAAAATTGCAATTTGTTGGAATCGCAAAGAAGATTGTAAAGGTCACTGTTTACAACTTTTTTATCTGGGCTTGTAATGAAAATTTAAAACATACGTTTTCGAAAATTTCATCTCACTCAGTCAACTATTGCCCAAAAAACGTATAAATTTTATTCAAATGAGTTTGTTCAAGTTGTGTGCATGTTATTATTATTTTTTCCCCGTTTCTGCAGGTAAAGGGCGTTCGCAGAGCGTTTAGAAGATAAAAACGCCTTGCCGGGAGTATCCCGGGGTTCGACCGCAAAGTTTAAATTATTTCGACGCCGTTCACAGTTCCTTCCAATAAAAATTTTGTTATACTGAGATTATTACACGTCTGTTTCGCTCTAGAATATTTTACCGTCTGCCGTTTAGGCCACTCTACAGCGTTTGTCAGTCACCGCATTTCTCTGTTATCTTTTGGTAACAACATCTCGCCCCCTTGGCTGTCATTCGATATTCGTTTATTCCTTGAGTAATGCCGAGTGCCAATACAGTAGACTCCCACTTAACCGGCCGCTGTGGGACCGGACCCCTGGCCAGATAAACGAATGGCCAGTTAATCCGACATGTTTCAGTTATCATTTGTAGGTACTTACTGAACAAAAATTAACGCATAAGTATATCAGTAATGTTTATTGCACATCCCTAGTACATACATACATATAAACATTGTTTATTAAATATTATTTTTTACAAAAGAATCGTTCTTTGATTTAATTTCATTTGATAATGCGATATCAGGCCACTTTTTTAAAAATAAGATATCAATTGCAGATGAATTCTCTTGCTGCTCTATATGTCTCATCGCAGTTTCAAGTGCAATCTTTCCTTCTGCATGACTCACTTCTTAATGTTTAAAATACTTTTGAGATCGCTTGAAAAACGTTGCGACCGAATGTTCGATAGGACTGACTAACTGAGAAATTATGAGTTTGCTGTGCAACGATTGCCAATTGTCTTTTAGACCTTCTTCTTTTACTATAATTCTAAAATTTGAGTATATCTCTTGTATGACTTTAAGAAAAAAATTAGTGAATTTTGGCCTTTAAAGGATTCACAAAATGACGGGTAACACCGGACGGTAATTTTTACCGAAGCTATCCAAACAAATTTAAAAAACCAAGTGGGGTTATTGATGGATGTACCGAAATCTGGTTTCGGTACCACCAATGATGGTAATATTGCCAGGCGATTTTTTAAAGATCCTTCGATAGTTTTCTCAAGAAACGAACGAACGAACGAAGACAAACACGCTCGTGATCCTACATTATTAAGGTCGTTGAATTTGTTTTTTTTATTTTCTGTAAGGATATTGGGGGGAATAGAATTCCTTTTAAAAAAATACCGATGACTTTAAAATTTCGTAAAAAAAATAATCTTGAGAAAAAATTCTTTCCACTGTTACATGTGCCCCTTGAAATAATTTAACTTTGTCCTGAGAAGTTTTTTCATACGATATTAAATAAGGCAGATACTTAGGTGATCTCATTTAGCTGAGACACCCTTTATAAGTAATACATGGTCACGTTATTAATACAATTTCACGGCAGTGTTATAGTACTTGATACTTTTGTCATTACTAGATTACGGATTTTTATGCAAATTATATTTTTGAGAATATAGCAAAAATAGTAGAACTTCGGTAGAAAATTATTTCACCTACCATGTATTATAAATAGCACTATACTCTGTCCAATTTAAGAATAACCTCGTTTCGCGCATGGGACGTGCTTAAGGCAGGGCTAGAACGTCCAAACCCCCCCTTAACCGCCTATGTTTTTCTCCGTCTTACCCTCTGCTACGCTCTCTGTCTATACGCAGAACGGACGAGAATCGGTCCGAGAGCGAGGTTATTCTTAAATTGGACAGAGTGTATAATTTAGATATTTTGTATAGTTTTTCGTATTCTGTGCAATTTTGTACCTTTAAATGTCCTATGAATGCATAAAAATCCGCAGTCTAGTCATTACCATTCATTAATCTGAATATTCTATTCGGCAAGGAGTCATAAAGATTTTCTACAATTGCTTGTGGAATTTGTATCCAAATTAGTTTTAACGAATCCTCTAACTTTCTCGTACTATTATATTGTTCACCGTCTTCATAAATTTTTCTTGTAAACTATCGTCACAAATTTTCAACGATGTTCAACATATTCACTGTCCAAGCGTTTAGCGAAATATTCCCCTCTCCTGTTTTCATCGTTCTCTGTTAATTTCCGACATGTCGAACGAAATAGATTTACTACCTTTAACTTTGAGCCTGATTTCCCCCCTTTCATTGTTGACGATTGCCAGGAAATGAAATACGTGTCGAATATTTTTTTAATTATTATTTTATGGCGAAGTTTCACCACTCAATGTTCACAATAAATAAGACACCCTGTATATACGTACGTCTTCGTTTAAAAACAGTATTTACGAATAAGCATAAATAACCACAGCCTATAGTTTGTACAATTACACAGTAATTATTATAATTTAATAACGCTTTCATTAATCACATAACATACTTTTAATCAATTTGACGGTTCTAACATTAGTAAACATAGAATAAGCAATTATTACTTTAGAACAAATGTTTACAGATTTTAGAGTACGAAAATCGTTTGAGAGCATATTCGACTCCTGATAAAATTTTTCGCTATTTTGCCACCGTAAAAGTAACCAGCTTAGAAGGCACTGAAATTTTCATGACCCCCGATGACTTCTTGAGGTCAATCACTCCTGGCATGAGACAACCAGATGGTATTATAATTTTGTTCCTTTGTTTTTTTTCTTTTTTTGCTTTTTAACACCGAGTTCTTTGAGATTATTTCATTATCTGATTAACATTCGTTTCTTCTGGAACTTGTCGTTTCTAACAGACTTAATTCCTTACGCTCTTACTAATACTAAAGCTAATTTAATCAACAGTTACACTTGCTTACTCGTTGGAAAATATAATTTCGCTATTAACTTTTCATCACTCGTACTAAGAAAATATATTTACTTCAATGTTGATAAAGCAAGCCAGGAGTGTAAAGCCGTGAGCTCACATGGGTAAGAATAAAAGATGTGACGTAGAACAAAAATATGAAAAGGACAGCTGATCAATTGATCACAGATGAACTTCGAAATTGAACAATAAGCTTTGTGAACGATTAGTCGAATTGTCACTGAGCATCGAAATTATTTAAACAGCTACAGATAAGGTTTGAAAGTAAATGTCGCATATTTAAATGTTTATGTATTTTTGTCAGTTTACTTTTTTGAAAATCGAAAACCTATCCCACCTAAAATACTTTGCTTAATTAAATTTGGCAATCTTCGAAAATTAAATCGAAAAGTGTAACTCCGTCCGTAGGCTCGGCGGCGCCGGGGGGCCACGCCCGGTGCCGCCCCTTCTCTGGGGAGCCGCCTGGGGAGGGGCCGGGTCCCCGCCCGGCGCTTCGCGGCCCCAGTTACCTCTGATCCGGAGGGCGGGGCTCTCGCCTTCCCGCCCCCGGTTCCTCCTCCTACAGGGGTCGCCATTGCTCTCCCTCTCTCTCTCGGCGGCCTCTTTCTGCAGCATGACCCGCTCACAGAAGGAGGCCACCGCCTCCCAGGACCCCTCTCTCGCCAACATGGCCCTGACTAGGGCCGACGGCTTGCAGGGCCCTAATGGCCGAAGAACCATATAAAAACGGGAAAAAGGGCAGCGACTCACACAATATCGTACATAACCATCGACGAGTGAACCGACGTTATTTTAATATCTGTCATTTTAAGCGCCTATAATTCTTTACTCTTACAAGACAGAATTTTAATATTGAATAGAGATTTGCCGGTGATACAGAGACTAAACTTAAAATGATTATTGGTTTCCTATGTATAACTTATGGTTTGTGGAGAGGTTGTTTGTGAAGAGAGGTTGGTGACTAAGGGTAGAATAGTTTAGGCTGGTTTGTTCGAATAAGCAATACGCAGGACAGTTACAGAAACCAATACGTGCAAATTAGTGAAAAACAAGGTGACTAAGATTTAAGATTAGGATGGCTATCACATTGGAGATGGTGTTTTTAGCAAGTTCGGTTTTTTGGCAAGGATGTAATTCATAACAGAGGCCCTTGAGGCCCACGAGCTAGTTAATCCTTATATTTTTTACCAACAAGGAAAGTTTCCCAAATGATCAATTAGTTTAAAAAAAGTAACGATTGCAAGTTATAGTAGGTACCTACTCTACCATCTAATAACTGAAATGAGTGTCATTCCCTCGGAAAATGTGATGTGAACTAGAAAAATCTCGTAATCATTATCTTGTTAGATACTCCAAAACTTTCTTTCCTACGAGTTCTGGAAAATGTCACTATTGTTTCCTTTCCTATTCCTCTAACCCATTTGAACGTACGTGACTTAGGAAAAACCACGAGGATAAGGTAGTCCGCGGGGCTCAAGGTCCTCCGCCATAAATTGCGCCCTTCCCAAATATCTGAACTTTCCAGAATTACCACCTCCACCCTTCCGATAACTAATTAAACCTCCGATACCCACACCCTCGCAATAGAAACGACCAATAGTAATTTTTACCGACGTTATATCTACCCTCGCGCGCACATTTTTCAACAGGAAAAATGTTGGTGTTTCAAAGTCAACCTCTAGTTCCGATCGTCGAACTTGTAGATTAGAAATAATAAAATCAGTTATAAAAAAAACGAAATTCTACCTCTCCGGGTTCACGACAATCTCGAAACCTCTTGCCCAGATCATGCGTCAGGTTGCTTCTTCAAATATTTGTAATCTTTTTATCGAAAGAAGCCGAACCTCGCAATTTTGTTATTC